CTATGGTTAATATTTTATCTTACATAACAGTTTTGAGGAATTAGATTTTAAAATGTGTCAGCTTTCATTAGGCTCCACATCAAATGAGGGGCATGTTTCTGTTCATCACTATGTTTCTAACATATTGTTTGATACACAGCTAATTCTCAATAAATATTTGTGGAAGGAATGAAAATTTTTGAGTGCTACATCTATTGTATTACTTAATTGATACCACAAGGTGGTACTGTTGTACCGTGAAATGAAAGCCTGTAAGCATAGTACTACATAAATCCTGTGACTAAATGAAATGAATTGACTACCTATTATGTTTATTGCCTGCTTCATTTATTTATAATTTCAACATGTGATTAGTCTTTGATTACATGATTGGGTCAGGCAGTGAGCTCATAACATAAGCAACATTTGGTTCAAATTTTTATAAAAATGTTAGATGGGATGGCATCTTACACACCTAACATTGTACCACGGTGGTTTCCTTTTCCCACTTTTAATTTACTTTAGGTTAAAGGCCTTTGTTAAATTGTTATTTGTGGTGAAATAATTTGCCAAAATTTTCTAGTAAATTATCACTGAGGGTTAAATAGTATTGTAAGTCTGTTTTGGTTGTCAAAATGTTTAAAAAATTAATACCAAATCTAAATTTATATGTTTTTCCCTCACTTAAAAACTTTTTTTGTTTTGCTTTCATATTTCTTTTATGGAGTCCATAGACTATTTTACTAATGTTTAGTTCTTTATTATACATCTGTACATATATAATCATAGTGTATAAAGTAAGTCAGTTTATAATTTCTCTTGGTTTTACCCCTATTATAAAAACTAAGCATCGAAAAATTTGTTTTGTAGCTTGGACCTTTTTGTTTCCTTATGTTGGAATTAATTTTGGAATATTTTGATTCTATAATCTTCCTCAGACTGAAGTGAAATCAGAAGAGGGCCCAGGTTGGACGATCCTCCGTGATGATTTCATGATGGGAGCATCTATGAAAGACTGGGACAAGGAAAGTGATGGGCCAGATGACAGCAGACCAGAATCTGCAAGTGACTCTGATACATAAAGCACCATAGGAAATAAAATAATCATTTTATTTTTTCTAGAAAAATATTTCATCCCCTGATAATTGGGGAATTAAAAGGATACCAAAAGTCAAAAGACTTTTGCCTGATTTTATATTTCCCCTTTTCATGTACACTTTATATATACTTTATTAAAATTATATTTTAAACCCTGGTATAATTTTAAGCATTGTTCCTCAGAACATCTGTAAAAGGAAATATTGCTGCTTGACCAGTGAGATGAGCATTTTGCCAGGATCATATTGATCCTGTCTATTGGTGTGTTATTTCAGTATCACCAATGTTTTCAGAAATACAGTACCAATTCATAATTAAACTCTTTCAAGTTAATAGTTCTCTGCCTTCGAACTTCTAGACCCAACTATGTATCTGTAGTTTTTGGGAATGATTGGTGTTTTTTGGTTTGTATTGGGAAGTTATTGAGAAAACCTATATAATAAAATTTAAAATTATAGTTTTTTGAATTTTGGGTAGTGATTTTAGTTTTAGGTCATCTGGAAGCTGTGATTTAAGAAACCACAGAGTTCAACTTTTATTTCCTTTTATTTATTAAATAATATAAATTATGACAGATTTAAGTGTTAGGCTGTTTTTGCATGAGAGCTTTACAGAGGTAGAAATTCTCATGCTTAACTTACGCAATGAGACAGAATTTCTTAGGAAGCATGTTTGACATGTTTTAGTCTGTCACCTGTTTTTTCCTCCCAAATATTTGAGTCAGCTTAAATTCTTTTTTATGGACTTTCCAACCAGTGGAATGATGTAGTTAGACAACAAGTAATCTGCAGCAGAATACTGCATCTGATTTGAGACTCGATTCCATATTATTGCCTTAAAGGCTATTAAATTGGGTGACTTTTAATATCTAGCTGTTAAAAAGAGGAGAGTCATTTCAAAATTTCTGTGAAATGTGGCCTATGCTCTAAAGTTTTAAAGGGAATTATTTAATAAATGTGGTTTGTTCCTTTTTGAAGAGGACCCATCCCTTTTCGTAATAAAAATAGTTACCTCCTACCAACCAGTTGCACATACTTGCATCTGTTATATATTGAAGGATAATCCTCCCCCAAAAAACTATGCAAGAGCAGAGATGTTTATATTTTGAAACCCATTTGAGTGTTACAGTATTATATGACTAAAGCTGAATCAGTCTGTGGCCCGGTATTTGTTATCATAAAGGAAGATGTACACCTAAGATATCAGGTGATTAAAAGTACAAGATGCATTTTTGTATTTAACTTTTGAACTTTAGTGTCTTTCAGTATAAATAAATGAACAAATATACCTCAGTAGTAATACAGGAGAGCTAAATATCCTGCTATAACTTAATACAGATAAATATTTCAATATGTTAGCAAACACATAATTTTGGAAAAAAAAAAATGTGTAGCAACTTAAACACATTTTTCTCCCCAGAACTAAGATTGCACTTAATTTAATCTGTTTCTGGGTTATACTAGAAACAGGAATTTTTGCAGGAATTTTTCTGAATAGTACATTCACATGATAGATATGGATAAACAGCTTATTTACTAAAATGTTTTGAAACAACACTCATATTTTATAGTCTCTCATTTAATGTGAAAAAAATTTGACAAGATTTTCACATTGAAAGTAAGGAAGAGAATATTTGCAGATTTTCATTGTTCAGGAATTATTTTATCCCAAAGCAAAATTGAGTTGCCACTATAAGGAAAAAAAAAGTATTACTTCTGTTAGAAGGCTATGAAGTATATATAAATTATATGACATGATTTTTATCATATAGGTTTGATATCTTCTAGGTATTAGTATTTTTGCATCTTGGATATTAAATAAGCAAAATACCATTATGTATAAATATGAAACCAAGAACGTGCATATTTTAGAAACTAATTATGTATCTTAAGTGAATGTTTTAAGTAGCTTAGTTCTGTCACCTCTCTTCTAAATATTTTACCTACAACATTTAGATTATTCTGATATGAGTCTGAATGTATTTCATCTTTCTACATTGTGTGTGTGTGTGTGTGTGTGTGTGTGTGTGTGTGTCTGTGTGTGTGTGTGTTTGAGACAGTTTCACTGTCACCCAAGCTGGAGTGCAGTGGTGCAATCTCAGCTCACTGCAACCTCTGCCTCCCAGGTTCAAGTTATCCTCCCACCTCAGCCTCCCGAGTAGCTTGGACTACAGGCATGTACCACCATATTGGCTAATTTTTCTATTTTTGGTGGAGATGGGGTTTTGCCATGTTGCCCAGGCTGGTCATGAACTCCTGAGCTCAAGCGATCCTCCTGCCTGTTGCCTCCCAAAGTGCTCCAGTTACAGGTGTGAGCACCATACCCCGTCTGTCTTTTAAAATTTTTAAGGAGGGGAAAGAAAACTGCATTTCCCACCTCGCCATTTGTTTAAACATACCACTTTTAGGATTTTATTTTTGGTAACTACTTAGAATAATATAGTAGGTTACTTTTCTTCAGCTAGAAAGAACTGTAGGAAATAGGAACCAACAATTTGGAAGTGTTATTTCCTTATTTCATATATAGAAATAATTATCTTATTTCCTTATTTCATAAAATGTTCTAGATACTTGGATGGCTGGGGTTAGTGTTCTTAGTATTTATCATAGTTTAGCATTGGTTGTTAATTATTTTTAAGCATCAGAATTTGAAAGCCAAAGATAATACCTGATTAGGACTGAAAATAGAATTATCATAGTAGTTTAGTCCTTTTTATCATGGAGTTGGAGCACTGAATTTATTTTCAAATTACCTAGAATTCTGCATTGCCCAAATACTATTCAATTCATTGCAAAATACACCTTGGAAACTTTTTGGATGAATTGTTCAGACAGAAGGTTACCACTAGCATTTAGAGCCTAAAGTCACTCAGTAGGAGGTTCTGGGAGGTTTATTTGAAGGCAGTCCAATTTCTCTAAAATAAAGTATTTTTTGTCGTTTAGAACAGATGGGTGAAGAAAGGGATGCGTAAATTCTGGGAAACTTCTTATGGTTTCCTTCCATTTCCTTCCACATCTCCATTAACGTGCTAACTTGAAGGAATTTAACTTCAAGGAAAGTTAAAATCTTCAAGTTAGCACGTTAATGGAGATCCTAGACTAATGAAGCTTATGTGGAGCTGTGAATATTATAATTTGTCAATACTTTATTGATAATGTTAGTTTTGTTTTTATTTGGAAACATTTTTTACAGTTGACCAAAGCAGAATTAATTCTGTTCTTTCCTCAAGTTCATCTATTAGGATCAATGTGATTGACATTTATCTCCACTCTGCATGTCAGTGGTATAGACGCTCGTAAGCCCTGCAGATATAATTATGAGTTTGAAGACTGCTTGAGGTGAATTGGCAGTGAGAGCAAATTTTGGAAACAGGAGAGAGAACTACTTTGTGCCCACAAAAAGCTCTCTCATTCCTTCCCCAAGAAAACAAGAGTTTGAATTTTGGCCAGCTGGTGTTTGAATCTTATTATTGCAGCATTGGTAGTCTTGGTAAATTTTTCATTGGGCGAGCTTTTCTGAAATTTAATTAAATATATTACTCAGGGGAATCTGTGAACAGATTTAGAAGTAGATTGTTTGAGTTGGTCGACAGGACATTTAGAATTGTGACAAATATCTTAATAAAATGCTAAGTTATAATGAATCTAATCATAATTATGTAGATGGAAGATACATTCTAACAGTTCTTTAATAATTTTAGATTCTCTAAATTTAGAATACTTTCTAGCTTAGAGAGCCATATTAATATTTTTTACCTAGTCTACTGAACATAATTTCAGGGAGTTAGTATTTAGGACTTTTTAACCTAGAGATGCGGTAAACCTTTTAAATTTAAGTTTGCTTTCTTAAAATACGTGTTCCAACATTGCTCACCTTTCTCCTCCCTCCTTTTTGCCCTCTCCTTCAGGGGGAGGAGTACATATTTAGCTTTCTGTTAAATGTTCTTTGGTTTTCAACTGAGTAAGGCAAGCAAGGATATATGTTAGAAGAGTGGGCATAATACCTTATAATAAAATTATAGGGAATGAAAGTCTAAATCATTGCTGTCAATAGGATGGCAATCCTTTTGTGATGATGGAAATATTTTATGTCTGTGCTGTCCAATATGGTAGCCACTAGCACAAGTGGCTATTGAGCATTTCACATGTGGCTAGTGATACAGAGGAACTAAATTTTTAATTTTACTTTAATTACTTTAAATTTTAAAAGTTACATGTGGCTAGTGGGTCTATCCCAACTATGAAGAGAGTAAAGCTACAGAGCATATATCTAGTCTAATAAACAACAGTGAATTTGGGAATTGTAAATCTATCTTGAGCTTTTTCTGTAAATGTTTATTGATGTAATTTAGGCATACAGAAATGCTGGTGAAATTTTATTGAGTTATTGTTTACTTTTTTTTCAGTATTTATATTTTGAAAAAGATATGTTTCTTTATAATTAAATTATATGGTAGGGTAACTATTGTCCTTAAACATTAAGCCACTTAATAACAAATAGTATTTGGTTTTTTAGTATTTATCATCGGAGACTTTCAGAATTAATATATCAAACCTTAAATCTTTTTTGTTGTTCTCCAAAAGAATGGGTTTATGGTACATTAAAAGGACATCTTGGGAACCACCAGAGCAATAGACCATATAAGGACTGAATTCCTATGCTTTTGACTTCTATCTAGGAGCCTACTTATTTAGGAGGCTTCCTGAGTAAGTGTATTTAGTTGTAGGACCCTAGAGTTGCCTCGTTCCATTCTATTCTAGCACACACTCAACATACTGCCAGAGCAAATGCAGGCTGCTGGAAAACACGCACACGCACACACACACACACACATACGAAGAGCACAATGAGCACTATTAGCACAGCCAATTTAAAATGATGAGGTGTTAACCACATTTGTATAAATAATAGTTTCTCTAACCCCAAATCATTATCCTGCATTTTTAATGCAATCGGTTCATAAACATCAAAGTGAAAACACCAAATTTGTAAGGTCAGGACCAACTGGGGCTCTAAGTGGAGAGACAGCTGAGAGCTGTGTCCGAGCTGTGTCCGTATGCGTGGGTGGCCTTGCAGCTGTTGATTCACCCTCAGGCTACCAGACAGTTGCCTCTTTGCACTTGCAGAACCAGACTTCAATCCTAGGTAAAAATGTGTCCTTCCCATGGAAAGGACATAAACAATGGATTGACATCAGCTCTGAAAACATCAGTGCGGCAGCCAGACTCAGCAGTTGCCCTGAAATACTGAGAAGTACCAAGCATAACATCAAGGCTGTTTCTACACAATAATATTTGTCTTTGTACAATAACACTGGGTTCTCTTAAGTATATTATAAATATAAAAGTTCATAGTCCGAAAGGTTCAATGTGATGATATCCTTCTCTACAAATGGCGGGAACACTAGGAGAGCTTGCATGAGACATGACTGCCCTATCTTGGTCCTTCCTAGGATTCCCAAATATAC